CCCCCCCCCCCCCCCCCCCAAAAAAAAAGAATAATTATAAAATAATAATAATCTGACAATCATGTATTATTTATCGTGTTACACATTAGGATATGACAATAAACAAGGATTAGAAATCTACAAAAAACAACTCCGATATATGTTTCGCAATTCTTAATGTATTCAGTTTTAACTTTGTTATTATTATTAAAATAGGATTCACACATCCGGGCATGCATACTTTGTATTCTTAAAAAGAATGATGCCGGTACAGGTGTTTTTTTTTTACGGCTTTTCAATAGGATAAAGGATATACATGGTGTTTTCCCTAAAATCAGAAGGTTTAACCACATATTTCACATTCCTCAAGAATATTGCTTATTGAATTTTTCTGCATCCTATTTTAAAGTTACATTCTTGGGTGTAATAACACCCCGCAGGGTCAAAATAATTTGCGGTTACAGTTAAGGCACGGCGTTTTATTCAGTAAAGGTGTGTTGCTTTTAAGATGTACATGTTACAGGATATAATGTTTGTCCGGGAATTTACACGTAAAATCAATGGCCTATTATAAATACCATAAATATTTTACATTCCTTAAAAAATACTGATAAGCTATTTGTGTTCAGGCGTACTGTACCCGCATCACTTCAATAATATATATCCATGAACGACAACGTATTGTCTCATGCCTTGTCCATGAAAACGGTGGCATTTCACCACAAAAATACTTGTCTAGCTTGCGTCATCCCAACACCAGTATATCGTACACTAATGTAGCTTTAATTTACCCGTATAGACTGAAGGAGTTAATGATGATTGCCCACCTTACATTTCGGAGCTATGGTTAGATACTTCCAAGCTAGGATCCAAGATATCTTGTATCGTAGTTCCAAGCCGTGGAATGTTTGAATGTTGGTTAATATTGCAATGATATCAATCCACCGTTTAAGATAATAAAGTGAATATCCATCAAGAAGATTAACATCTAATCTACCAACCGGAGTGGTGCTAAGTACCACATGCTTAATCTTCATACTTGTATCATCTTGTATCTTAAATTGTGTGAGCAAACAATTAACTATGCATTAAGAAATTAATCGCTCTAGTTAACGAACATTACTCGCTCTGTAATTT